CCCCCCCCCAACTCTAACTGAAACCACTTGTGTGAACAGCGAGATGAAGCCTTCCAAATCTTCCCTTACCCCTGCATCGGCCAAATGCGCTTCCTAAGCTGCCACCTCTCCCGCCTTCCCTTTTACGACCACGTGCTCGCCCGCCTGCGCGCCTCCCCGGCCAATGGCTTCCTCGATGCAGGCTGCTGCGTCGGTCAAGAGCTCCGACATCTAGTCTACGCCGCCTCGATCCCGCCATCCCAGTTATACGGCTTTGATCTAGAAGCTGGGTTCTTCGAGCTCGGGTACAAGCTGTTCCGTGATAATGCGGAGACGTTCCCTGCTACGTTCGTGGGCGCGGATCTAGGTGTGTCGGACGAGGAATGGGAGAAGACCGAGATTGTGGCGAAGATGAGGGGGAAGATTGATATTATTTGGGCGGGCTCGTTGCTGCATTTCTGGGATTATGAGGGGCAGCTCCGTGGTGTGGAGCGGTTGATTGGGTTGACCAGGGGGGAGGTTGGGATGGTGGTTTGTGGGAGACAGATGGGGAGTACGGTGGCGGGCTTGTATGATTTGACTGGGTTGACGGAGAAGACGATGCTGCATTATCGGCATGATGTGGCGAGTTTTGAGCGTATGTGGAGGGATATTGGGGAGAAGACGGGGAGTAGGTGGGATGTGCAGGCGGAGTTGGAGGTTGGGGAGACGACGACTAATATGAGGAATAAGGCAAGGTTTATGGATGATAATGCCAGAGTTATTTGGTGGTGTGCAACGAGGGTGGAGTAGGAACTTTTCCTTGAGTGTGGGAATGGAGATGCTGACTACTATAACTAATAGTACTAATATGAATGAGAAGTGGGACCGGAGAATCAATTTCATGGTTAGTATGCTACTATTATGGTATCATATATATATAAATATGATTTCTACTGCCTTAGTACCTGATGTGCTTGTACAGTATCTACTACTTCATACTACCGGATATCCACATCCATCTTCACCATAATCCCATTCGCTGACACCACGCCTCCCCCCGGTGTCCGATCTTCCGGGTCCTTGGAGGCGCAGCTGGTGGTAAAGTGTCCCATATGCAGCCGTTCGGTGCTGCTGCCGGCTTCATCCTCGAGTCGCAAGCGTGCGGCCCGTGCTGCTGCTGAGGCGTGGCTATGATGGTACGTATTCCTGCTTGCGCCTCCGGCCGTCCAGCCCTTGTCTTGGCGACGCTTTTTGCTGAAGGCGACACGGAAGCCCGAGCCGATGGGCACCGCGGTCGCGCACACGATGGCCATGTTGAGCTGGATCACGTCCAGCAGCTCGAAGGGCGCGGCCGCGTAGGGGAAGTCCGAGTGCAGGCTCGTAGACTTGTAGAGAACGACGACGCGGGCGACCGCGGATACAATGGCACTGCGGAGTTGAATTAGTTCTATGGATAGATACAGAGTGGAATTTAGCCATGGAAGGGGGGGATTTACAGGAATCCGACTGAAAACACGATCATGAGCCCCGTTTTGCGGGCAAGCGGCATTTGCAGCGTAGCGATGGTGGCAATGGGCAGCACCAGGATCGCGACATCGGAGACCAGGTCCAGAATCAGCGGCAGGCCGTCGGCGGTGGTGGAGTTGTGGCAGCTACCATGCACGGTTGACTGCGGGTCGAAGCGATCCCAGTAGTAGCTGACGGGCACACACGAGAGCACATATGTGATGGTCGAGCCGATGCCCCACAGCACCGCGTATACCATGTTCGTCCACCAGAAGATGCGCAGCCAGATCTGCTGCACGATGAACAGCCGCCGGTAGTAGAGGAGCAGGGCAACCTTGGTGGCCAGCATCGAGGGCCCGTTGAAGGCGGCTGTGAGCCACACACACAGGAAGATCCACTTCATGCCCGACGGATCTTCGGATTCGACCCGGAAGAGGTGGTATCCCAATCCATAATGCACTGCGACGATTATGACAATTGAGACCACATTGGCAAAGAGCTAAAAGGCCGAGAAGAATGGTCAGTAAGCTTAGTTGAGTTCGTACATGCCGAGTGGCGGGCAAGGATAAATGAAAACGTACGACGGCCATGACTAGCAAATAGTCCTCCGGCATGGGGCGCTTCTGAATACACCATTGGGCCCAGATACGTAGCATCACGCCCATATTGCCAAGCACCAACATGGTGATACTGAGGCCTAACACCACCGGCTTGAGGGACTGCGACCACTCGGCCAGCTCCGCCGCGGTTAGCGCCGAAGAGCTGGTGGAGGGCGATGTAGACATTGTCGCCGACATGGGGGCACTGATCGTATCATCGATCAAAAAGATAAGAGAACGATAATAGATTAGGAGGACAATCTGTTTAGATTTTCAAGACCCTCCCAACAACCTCGAAAGAAAGAACCCTAAAAAAAAAAAAAAAAAAAAAAAAGAGACAGAGAGAGAAGGAAAAAGCCCATTGTCAGCGAGAAGGAATTCGGCCGCCGATAAATAATCCTCCCATCCTCCTGATGCTGGTCAGACTCGCCATGATGACAGGGATCCTGTGCTGGATGTTGCATTAGTTCCAATCTTCAACAAAAAAGGAAGAGGGGAAAGGGCCGGAGTCTAACAGGACACCCGGTCCACATTTCCGCCCCCTGCGTCGGTTCTGATTCCTGCACGAGTAAGATCCGTCAGGACTTGTTGGCCCCCATCGCTAGTATGCCTCGTCGACTAAGACAAGCAAAGTCAAGCCTCGTAAATCCGCAATGGCAGTGCTTAGCGCCGCAGCCCGCCCCTACAAATGCACCCAAGCGCCATGGGCAGTTTGGAAAAAAATCATCACCACCGAAATACTCTTTCATCATGCTACTGCATCCTGTTCCTTCACCGGACGCCTTGGGGCTGGGCAAAGACCCGGTTCGGAGCTATACGTCAGAAGTTGTCCCTGAGACCCTGCCCCCACACGAGGCCACCAGCCTGCTCGAGCTGCTGCAGCAAGCTGCAACCACTTCTGCGGGCATCACCTTCTACAAGACTTCGAGTCCACATTCAGAGGCTGCCGTGCGGGTCTCCTATCGGCAGCTGCTTGACCAGGCTCACCACGATGCGCATTGGCTGCAAACCTCGGTGCCAGGCCTGCAGCGGGACACGGTGTTCCTGTTGCATTTTGACACCCACGAGGAAAACATCCGCTGGTTCTGGGCCTGCACCCTCGCGGGCTATTTGTCATGTATTGTTCCCAAGCTTGCAGTTTCCACCGACCGTCGCATGGCCCAGGCCAAACACATTCTGCAGCTACTGGATGACCCCGTAGTGCTCACCAACAGCCGCATGGCATGTGCCTTTCAGGGCGTCGACACCCCGCGTTTGAATCGCGTGGATCAGCAATCCGCATTGACCTCCTCATCTGCCTCCACTCCGCTCCCGATGGTGGATCGCAACCAACGAGCCGATGATCTCGGAGCCCTAATGCTCACCTCTGGCAGCACCGGCTTCTCCAAAGCCGTGTGTCTCCGCCAGCCACAGATGCTAGCTGCTGCGGCCGGTAAAGCTGCGCACTGCAAGGCCACCTCTCAGGACGTTTACATGAGCTGGGTCGCGTTCGACCATGCCGTCAATCTGGTCGAGATGCACCTCCAGGCCATGCTGCTTGGGGCTGAGCAGATCCAGGTGGCTACTGACTGGATGGTGGCCGAGCCCCGCCGCTTCCTCGACCTGGTTGATCGGCATCGCATCTCCCTCACCTTTGCCCCCAACTTCTTCCTGGCCCTGCTGCGCGATCTCGTCTGTCACCCCACGCCGGAGCAGAAGGCGCAGCCCACCCCGACCTGGGACCTCTCGTGCCTGCGCTGTGTCTTCTCCGGCGGCGAGGCCACCGTGCGGCAGATGGCGGTGCAGCTTCTCCGTGCACTGGAGCCCTACGGCGCCCAGCCCTTTATCCGCTCCGGCTACGGCTTGACCGAGTCGTGTGCTGGCATGGCCTGGGACCTGGTCGACCACACCGTGGATGACCTCCTCCACAACACGGCGGGCGAGTTCATGTCCTGCGGTCGGCCCATCCCCGGTGTGGAGATGCGCGTGCTGCGGGAGACTGACCAGAGCGAGGCGGCCGCCGGCGAGGAGGGCATGCTGCAGCTGCGCGGCGCCGTGATCTTCAACCAATACTACCGTGATGCAGCGGCCACGCGTGCGGCCTTGACCTCCGACGGCTGGTTCATCACGGGCGACAACGCCTACCTGGACGCGCACGGCCGGCTGTACATCACCGGCCGCTCCAAAGACACGCTCCTCCTCAACGGAGTGACCATCTTCGCCGTCGAGGTCGAGTACAGTCTCGAACAGACGCGTATCCCCGGTCTGACTCCGAGCTTCACGCTGGTCTTCGCCCACCGAGCCCCCGACGCCCCGTCCGAGTCCTACTGTGTAGTATACCTGCCCAGCTACCCTCCGGACGATGCCGCAGCCCGCGTCGCCACCACCGAAGCCATTGAACGCATCGCCAGCCTCGTCGTCCACGTTTCGCCCACCGCTATACTCCCCCTCCCACACAGCTACTTCGAAAGAACCTCCGTCGGCAAGCTCTCCCGATCCCACTTCCGGCGCCTCTTCGAGTCCGGCGCCCTCGACTCCGAACGCAAAGCCCACGAGACCAGCATCCAAGCGCACCGCCAAGCGCACCGTCAGGCCCCATCTTCGCCCACTGAGGAAACCATCCTCACCCTCATCTGCGCGCGCCTCAACACGGACCCAGACTCCGTCAGCGTGACCACCAACCTCTTCAGCCTGGGTCTCTCCTCGCTTGATTTCTACTCCGTCACTCAGGACTTGCAGCAGACGTTCGGGGTGGCCTTCACCGTCCCCGACCTCCTCATGGACCCGACCATCGCCGGCCTCACCCACCGCCTCGCCTCCAAGCAACCCACCGCCTCCTCTCCAAAGCCAGAAGACAACACCCGCAATGAATACGACCCCGTCGTCCCCCTGCAACTCTCCGGCCCCAAAACCCCCTTATGGCTTGTCCACCCGGCCTCCGGTAACGTCCTCATCTTCGCCAATCTCGCCCGAGCCTTCCACGACCGCCCCATCTACGCTTTCCGCTCTCGCGGCGTGCAGCCCGGCGAGCCGCTCTTCGCCACCATCGCCGAAATGGCCGATACCTACGCCGCCGCCATGAAGCGCACGCAACCCTCGGGCCCGTACGCTCTCGCCGGGTACTCCCTAGGCAGCAGCATCGCCTTCGAGATTGCCAAGCGACTCGAGTCGGCCGGCGAGGAGGTGGGGTTCCTGGGCGCGCTGGACGGGCCGCCCGATATCGCGGACTTGGTGGGTCGGTTGACCTGGAACGAGGGGCTGGTGATGGTGGGGTATTTCTATGAACTGATTGATGAGCCGAGGTGCGTGGCGCTTATGCCGGAGTTGAAGGATGCGGATGCGGAGCATGCATTGGATGTGATTCTGGGAGAGGCGAATCCGGAGAGGTTGAAAGTGTTGCGGTTGGATAGGGCGGGGCTGAGGCATGTGACGGATGTTATCGATGGATTCTCGCGTGCGGCTAAGGGATATACCCCTGGTGGGAGGGTGGAGGCGATGGTGGATGTGTTTGCGGTCGACCCTTTAATGACGGTTACGGATGATCGGGGGTGTTGGGTGGAGAGGTATTTAAATCAGTGGGAGAGGTTATCCCGGAGGGGGATGGTGGTGCATCAGTGTGAGGGGAGGCATGCGGATATGTTGGGAGCGAAGTATGTGAATGGGTTGCAGCTGGTGTTGAGACGGGTGATGGAGGAGAGGGGGGTCTAGATTGTATATAGAATAGAGTAGTATAGATGTTTGAAATGTCGTTGGAATATGATAACATGATTTTGATGTGTTAGATAGAAGAGATGAATTAGCCTATGTTAGGGAGTTGATATCCATGATTGATGCTAGGATTTGATAATGTTTCCTGCTCTTTGTGTTCGCTGCTTGCAATATACAGACACTGGATTAGGAGACAGGACTTGTAGCTGAATAATTGCATGGAAAGGTCCATATGAGGGCTATAGCGATCCTGCCGTGCCAACTGGCAAGGAGTTAGCCCGTTTCCCCAAAGCTAGATGGCGTGTCCACACTACCACATCAGCAGTCACATCCTTAATCTGGGACAATAAAATGCGTAACATATTCGTGTTAGGCCAAGAGTACCGCCAACTGCATTGAATGGCAGCCATTGCATATGTGTCCAGCCGATATCAGTGCAGGCTTTTGTATGAAGATTAGGTTTTCTGTAGAGCCTCCAATGAACAGTCTATAGTGATAACCCATTAAACTGTCATTTGCCATGAAGTAAAATGAACAATAGACATTTCTGTCTATCGTTTGGTGGCCATACTTTCGCTGCTTGACTTGGGAACTCCACAGCGTGCAGTACGTTACTGCAGCTGTGGCGCTGGGTGCAGATAGTTAAGAAATCAATCAACTGCGCAAATTTAGCCCTAAAAATGGGATACCGCCTGTAAATGCGAGAAGCTGTATAAAAAGCACTTACCCTGGCATTTACTCAGAGTTGGACGCCGATTGTAGTCATATTGCCATCTAGCCTGGTCCTTCAGTGATAGAGTGTAGACATTGCGTGGGATAATATAAGCAGCGTCACTGATTTGCAGTGATATGGACTAGGCGTTCAGACTACATACGATGGACCAGGTCAGTGACTGGGTATGCCATAAGTGAAAATAAAGCAATGCGATGGTGGCAGCAATTTCCGAAGTTCTCCAGCATCTCGATCCTCGATCTGAATGTCATGTAATTTGGGACACGAGACTACTGCGCTAGTACTCTGTTGGGACTTGATTATTTATATATATATGGCTATATTAATAGTTCAAAGCGAAATATGTGAGCTGCGGGAAAAGTGCACACTTGTAATGTGATCTAAAGCCATATGTCCTTACTGTGCGGCAGTTCACTGGCTGACAGTAATCCCAAGGTCTTTCAACTAATGGTAGCTGCCTTTCTCATTAATTTTATATGCAGTAGTGGCTGTGTTTATACTAATATTTTAAGAAATAATATCTAAGTCCATAAGCTTCAGGCTCTTAATTTCCTGAAAATTAAGATCAGTATTAATTACTCACTGTTACCAGCCAGTGCGTCTATCTTATAAGTACTAAGTAAATACCAGGTGGTGCTTATAATTTTGTATATCCAGTCTTTAATGACCTTGATATCCTCCGTAATATATTAGATAAGAGAAATTCTTATTATTTAGCTTATTCAGCTTGACAAGAGCTATAACTAGATTTTAGTAAACAGCAGATGCGCGCCAATAAATTCTTTATAGTGAATATAATCTATTCTGTATATAATTTCTTACTGTTTTTTATTTATTTAAATAAGTTTTTCTAATAATTGGTACTAATAATAACCAGGTCCCATACTGGTAAGAACCAAAAATATGTACGACCTGGCGACCTGGGGACCTGACGACCCAGAAAAGAATACTAGCTACGCGCGGTGGCGGGAGGCGGTGGTGATATTTCCGCTCGCCTGGAACGACCGTTACATGCACTAGTAGTACGTACGTAGTAGTTACTGTCTCTATTGAGGACCTTTCGGAGTGGAAGTGTGGGTGGGTTGAACTGCAGCGAAGCAAGCATCCATCAATGGATAGTCACATAGAACAGATTGAAGAGTGACTTCATTCACAATGATAAGACAAGGACAGCCTGCAGATCCAATCAGCAAGGGAAGAGGGCTTCGACTCAAGGGGGGAGGGGGGAGGGACATGGGGAAGAATACTTTGGAATGAAAGAAAGGAAAGCCTCGCCCTCGTGCGGGCGGAGAATCGGCCGAGCCGCAGAAAATCAGAGCGGAGAACCAGCCGGAGGAACTGGACCATACAGTACCGGGTTTACGAGGATACTATACACTTACCACGCCTCCGCGGTGCCCGCCCGCGTCCACATCGCGACGCGATTAGATGAAGCGTCTTTTTTCTCCGGGTTGGGGAATCGTTCCCACATCACACCCGATCTCCTGCTCACGTCCGCCTCGCCATTTTACTTAGGTCACGGCCCGCGTCTTTACCTTTCCTTTTCTACTTTCTCTCCACGCATTCTCTCTTGCTCTCCCTCCCCGTCCTCCTATGCTGTTAACTCGGCTTACGGCTATTTACCATGTCTGATCCGGAGCCCTCTGCTGCACCATGTTCCTCCTCGCCGCCCTCAACCCAGGCGTCCGACTCGGCTGCTGCTCTTAATTACGCCTTCCTTGTTCATTCCCAAAAGACCCTAACTCAGAATCTTCCTCCACGCGTCGATAATAAATTGCTGGCACGGCAAAAGCGGCGTCGGACTAGGTATGCACGGAAATCAATTCCAGTCCTCATTGGCCCAATGGGTCTCGCTGCCAGTAGATCGCTAACACGTCACTGCTGTGCTCGTATAGCCCCGAAGACCACGCAATCCTTGAAGCCGAGTATCAACGGAACCCGAAACCAGACAAAACGGCCCGAGCCAGTATAGTCAGTCGCGTCTCGTTGGGCGAGAAGGAAGTGCAAGTATGTCTGCGATAACCACGTAACCTCCACGTCTGACGTGCAATCTAATGTGTCTGGATATTAGATCTGGTTCCAGAATCGTCGTCAAAATGATCGCCGGAAATCGAAACCATTGCAACCTCATGAGCTTCTCGCGCCTCGGTCGGACGTGTCCGACGCGTCAAAACGGGTATCCGATGACAACCTACCGACAGAGCCAGGATCTTCAAGCGGGACAGAGCAATCAGAGGACAACTGTCAGGACAGGAACGTTGCTTCACAATCGTCCGAACATGTGTCTTTTGGATCCGACGTGGTGCATGGAGACAATAATGAGCTAGAGCAGTCAGGGTTGAGCTCTCAAACAAGCCTTACTACAGAAGCTGTGGAGGACTCCCAGAGAGCCCCAGACGAGACGATGCCGGAACAACAACCAGCCCTAGTGCACGATGAAACCCATGTCGACGATTCCAACCTGACCTCTGCTAAGAGGAAACGATCATTTTCCGAAACCCGTGGCAATCGACCATTTGTGCAGGGAACATCAACACCGATGAAATCGCCGCCATCCTTGCGGATATCGCTCTCGTTCGACGGAGAAGCTATGGTACGCAAAGAAGATGAGCTCACGCCATCTCCTCCGAAAGGACGAAATGCCTTGCGGATCGCCATGTCCTCTGATGGAAAAGCTGTGATCCGTGCTGATGGCGAACCGTCCCCGTCAAAGAACCGCATCTCTATGTTCTCAGCGCGAAAGCCCAGGATTGCAGGACTTCGAAGGAGTAACAGTGCTGCGGCATTTAGTACGCCGCGCGGTGGCTCCATGGAGACCGAAAAGTTGTTTGGAAGATCAAGAGATCCTCGCAACTGGGAATCGTTTTTTGACACTGATGCAAGAAGTGCACTTTCTACTCCGACCAGCTCCCAAAGCGCACCGAACGCTGGCTCTCCCGCTCTATTCCGCGCACGTGGTCAGCGTTCACTAACGAGGAGCATGTCGGCAAGGCATAGCAACGCCTTGAATGCTTCCGAATATCTTAATACCCCTGTCCCTAAGCCGACTGGCGACAAGAGACGCAAGATCTCCCGCACGGTCTCTTCATTGGGCCGGCTGGAGACTGGCCGTGCGACCCTTGGTGACAAGTTGTCTAATTCGAAGACGATGTCGACGAAAGATGATGACCTGGAGTTACAGTGGGGTGACTCGGATAAGGAGAACTGGATACCGGGCACACGAACCTCCCATGTCCGCCGGCGGACCGCTTCCCATCATCACTCCCGGCGTTCCATACTAAGAGAGGCCAACAGCAGGGATGGCAAAGCCAACAGGGATCTGGCATCCGGTGGAAGATACTCACGGTTGTCTCAGCACCAAAGAGTGAGCGGGGTAATCGACAAGGATGTGCCAGAGATGGACGCCGAGGTGTCGGCTTTCATGAACGGCGGGGGAGGTGCAAGTCAGGAAGAAGACCTTGACTGCATTCAGGGCTTGCTATCTCTGAGCCAAGGGGCATGGAAATGAGATAAGCTTCCCCTTGTGTCCTTGTGAGATGATCATCATTTCCTTTGTTTCTTTCTTTTCATCATTCCCCCTTTGTTTCATATCCATTTCTTTCCTTTGTAATGTCAATATTGGAGGTTACAGGCCAGCAAGCGGGTGATTGTGTGTATGATTGTGAAATGATTGCTTTACGTTCCCATAAGGTGCAGCTCGCAGGTTTGCTCCAGGCAGCTGCAACCATGGGTCCGGACTTGATGACGAAACCCTGTGCCACGCCACAGATGATATCCAAGTGCCATTACAGCCGAATAGCCTAATACAAACAAACAATGGAAGATGATAGAATAATTGGCTTATTTGATACGTAAGCGCCTGTGATGGACTGATCCGGATAACCAGGGCGAGGCGGGGGTGAAGGGGGGAAATGGTAGGGAGTAGATAGGCGGAGTAGGTGGACTGCAGAAGATGGCTGTGGGCGGGTTCTGCAAGCACGTGGCTTCCCGCTGACATATAACCGCCGGGTCTCGTCCGTCTCCCTGATAACTACGAAGTATTCGCCTCGTTATCTTTCTCTCCGCCACCCGTGGTTGGATGCTTCACGGTTTCGTCTCTGTGAGTTGTAGACTAAGACCGAGTCGCTTTCATACCTTGGTAGGTCGGTTCAATTCATCCGTCATTTCCTCTGGGTGTGGGCCTTTTTCAAAGTCTGGCCTATGACCATATCAAGTAGTAGCGGCTGCAATATGCACCGGCTTATCTCGAGTGGATCGGACAGCTGCT